AGTCTAACCTTCCCAGCCCAGTCATTTTTCTTCCAGAGATCTCTAATCTGTTTCTGTATTGCCGGATTTAGAGAACACAGGGGAAAGGCAAGGAAAAAAAGTCACACACGCATATGCACATGCATTCAGGGATACCTGGTAATTTTTGCAATAGAAGGCTCCTGAATCATGTTAAGACGAGTCATTTAGAAAAAGTGGTCGAATTTAACCCAAATCAAGCCTCAGGGAAAGCGAGCAAAGAGTTTCCTTGCCTTGCTAGGAGGCAAAGAGCTCTTTGGGGGTTAAAACTGGAGCGCTTTCGCACCACTCCCGCCTTCGGCGTGGCTACGGGGGTGCGCCTGACAAGCTTGACCTCAGCACGTGAGCCCACCAGGCAACGCGGTTGCAGAGGACAACGCGATTCTAGTGCCATTCTAGAAAGAGAGTTTGAGGAAGAGTCCCTGAAGTTCACTGTTTGTCCCAAGGAACTTGGAGGTTGGAAGGCTTTGCGCTGCAGGAGGGGCCCGGGACGCCAGTCGAGGGACAGCACCCCGAGAAGGCGAGCTGTGTCTCCGGATCCCGAGACCCAACCCCGGCACAGCGCGAGCGGAGCCCCGCGGGTGGCGCTCACGGTGGACGTCGTTCCGTCAGCTGCCCTGGGCTGGCTGGCCTGCAGGAAAGCCGGCCCCACTTTCTCCTGCCATCCCAGGTCCCCAGCACAAACACCTACCCTGGCCCGGGAGTGAAAACAGACACCTGTTTTTTCCGCACAGCCTAGTTCTAGTAAACACGTAGCAATCGATCAGAAGAGCCGGAGGTCCGGCTGGGAGAAAAAAGACTCTTACCTCGAGGGCTGCTTTTACTCTGAAACTTAAGTTCTTGTCTCCTGGTTCTCCCTCATGTTTCCCTCCTTCCTTCGACCGTGCCCAGTGTCTGATTTAAAAGGCCAAACCTAAATCAATCTGCAACTCGTTGGCTTGGCAAATCTAGGGACATTCGAGTTATAAATGCCAACGCAGAGCGCGCAGGAAACGGGCTCATTTATTTTGCCCACACAACAGAAAAATGTTAATTGATGTAAAGTTGCTTGGCGCGTAGAGAATTTAGTCTGACCTGCATTTTAATGAAAAGAAAACTTATTTATGTTTCTGACGCTTATATTTTGCAATTTAATTTTGTTTTGAGGCACCGTTGTGTAGTTGACACCCCCGCCCCCAACCAATTCCCCAATCGAATCACATTTTCATTAAAGTTTTTACTAAGGAGCCTCGCCTGACCAGGATTCATTCCCCTCCGCCTTCCATGAGCACACTTTCGGGGCTCCACTCGCTCTATCGCTCCGCCCGGCAGAGCCGCCACAATGTGCTGCGAGCCGGCAAGTGGACTCATCATTATTTTTCAAAGTCTGGGAAGTGTGTTATCCTTTTTCCTAGTGGTAATTAGTTACCATAGCATCTAATACGTAAATGTGCCCAGAGCACACCATTAACAGTTAAACGGAGGATTCAATTTAACACATGATTATATCTTTCATAAGTCATTACACTGGAAAAGTCAATGCCACTCATGCTGGTTCAACCTCAGGGTCCGGGGAGCCTAGAAAGGTTCGGTTCCGGCGTCCGAGACCAAGAGTGCGTGGAGAAGGGAAGCCCGTGAGCCTGGGCCATCCCTGGTGAGCTGTTGGCAGTAGGGATGAGTGGTGGGAGGGGAAGGAAGGAGAAGGGTTTAAGCTCAATACAGGGTCTTGGAGGGGATGCCCAGCTGCGTGGAGAGCGCACCAGAGTCTGCGCGCGCTCATACACGCGGTCGCGCGACTCTCTCTCTCTCTCTCTCTCTCTCTCTCTCTCATCACAGAGAGGAAGAAGGAGGGGTAACTATTGAGTTCTTCGAGGACAGTCATTTGATGATCTACACGCAAGGCCCCGACGCTTCTGTAGGTGCCCAGTGTCAAACTGGAGATGGGACCTAAGTGGGAACTAGAAATTAGGGGAC